GAATAGAGTTGCACATGTTATACATAAGGCCATCAAAATAATAATATGAAAGAAATCACGTGGCATTGTTGAACGTGTGGCACATACACCGTCTTACACACAGAATCAGTGTGAGTTGTGAGGGCTAACATAAAAGATCTAAAAATTATTATGGTATGCCGTCCATGTATGGTGCCTATGTAAGATGCACCCAAAGCAGGACAGTTAATACACTGGTATAAAGTATGACCACCGTTAGTTTGATACTTGTATCAATCAATCGCTGTGTCTTTTTAAGACAAGAGCAGATTGTAGAATGTCTTATTGATGTAATATTATCTTAACACATGCAGCACTTCCTATGTGAGAATTTAGCACACGACAGGAAAGTTAGCCTATTACACATATTTGACGTATATTTGCTGGCTGTATACTGTTGTATCAATAGCTTATAAGATTGCAGTATATGTAAGCAGAACGATATACGGTTGATTGTTATGCTCATATGCACAATATCATGGTTACAAGTCAAATTGACGGAGCTAACATGTGATTAAAACACCGCCTAATATTAAGTCATGAACACAAGTCTTCCACTAATAACACCTAACACCAGGCCCGTCGACAGAAATTTCGGGCCCCTAGGCAGGGCTGTCACGGGCCCCCCCGAGGTCTGAGCCTCTAAACTATCTTTAGGCTTTATGAGAATTTAAAAAAAAATTTGACAGATCGTGTGGGCGTGTTCAAATTAGAGACCGGCATGGGCCGAATTTACCAAGCCCGGTCTCTCTGGTCGTGTCACGTGTGACTTGTGTTCAAAAATTGATGTTTATGTCAGCAGAAGAAAGTACTAAGACGACGGATTGACGGAATTGCATAAAAATGATAAAATGGTAAATAACTACGGCAATATTCAGATGCTTGAAGTTTAATCTGATTGTAATTAGTTTGGTTAAGTTATATTTACAAAAGCATAAGTAATACATTTTTATAGCTGATCATAATATTGTCAAAAGTTGATTGCGGGCCCGGCCCGGGCCCCTAAAACTCACCGGGCCCCTGGGCATTTGCCCCCCCCACCCCTTCTTGGCGGGCCTGCCTAACACTTGTATACTACAAACAAAGAAATAAAATGGCGTATTTGCTTATACTTACAGAGCGTCCAAATTGGCCGCAGGAAACAAGGCGCACTTTAGTAATGCGTTAAAAATTTGAATCAAAAACTCATTAGTGCGCGCATTAAGTAAAAAGTGTTCGGACAGACCAGAGAGCATCTACGTCACACGACAAGTAAGACAGTCTCTTACTTGCCTTCTGGCACATTCCCTGTGGTAAATTAACAATCCATTAGCGACTCCAACCCAAATAAAAGTAAAAATTCCAGACCAAACCCCTAAAGACTTAAATGTGTACTTTTCAGTTTTGTCTCGGCTGTCTAAGATACTATCTTATATTTCTATGAGTTAAATGTTTTTTAAAAAGATATTTTAAAAAGAAGGGCCCCCCCCCCCCACAATGGATGAATGTGAAAACTCCCTTTATTGCTTAATATTGCAATGTCCCTACTATCTTATATTTTTATGAGGTAAATGTTTTTTAAAAAGATATTTTAAAAAGAAGGGCCCCCCCCCCCCCACAATGGATGAATGTGAAAACTCCCTTTATTGCTTAATATTGCAATGTCCCTTAAAGATGTAGAATTGAAAATATAGTGAAAGTTATAGTGAATAAAGTCCCCTTTCCAACGAGATATAATAATTTACAACTTAATATACTAGGGTTCCCGAGAAATAAATAATTGAACTTGAACCAAAAGCACGCATAGTTGCTTCCAATATTTAAGTATTCTACGCGATGGGCCTCTTTACATTCATGCTGCATGTTATCATACCCTAACCACGATGTCAAATCCTGCGCTGTGCGCTAAACAGTGCTTCGTAATAGTGTGGCCTACAATGCCACATTAAAATGTTTTATTTTTTACACAAATTATAAAAATGTCTCAAGCTGTGGCGGTCATTTAAAATCAGCTCGCGGGCCGTATGCGTTCCACGGGCAGTGGCTTGGAAATTATAACTTAAACGAATTGAATATTAGATTCCATGGCGAAACCAAGCTTGCATTTGTATCCGATGTGAAGGCATTTCAACAAAAAATAATGGTAGCTTCACCTCAATCCCATGCCGTGAAAAATTTGCACAAGAACCAATGGGCTCATTCGGTCATTGCCATGTGAGTTTGTGCAAAGAGTGCTTTCGGACCGATTTACCGATCTGGATGCCAGCGCAAAAACCAAACAATTAATAATAATCTTCCAAAACCAGTTTGATTTTGTTGTATCGATCTTCAAGAAATGATAAGCTAAAAGGCCGATACGATGAAGGAAAACTGACAGATTTTCTATAAGTGGCTTCCAGTTCGATAAATTTTATCAATTAAAAACTATGCTAATATCTGTCTTTTATTTTGATGAGCAGCTTTTATTTGATGAGCAATGGCACATACTTTTTTATGATAAAGAGTAGAGTACTAACTTTCAGCGTTACATCTAACTTAATTGGATTATCCTGGGAAAGTAACAATTTCATGCTTCCCAATGATGGGAAAAGACAAAATAGAAATGAGCGAAACAAAGTATGGGTAAACTTAAAAAAAATAAATAAAAAAGAATGCTCTAAAACAACGATCGTGTCAGCAAGAAACCTTTGGGCAATACAAATTAAATGTCTTTACATCCAATTACATATATATATATATATATATATATATATATATATATATATATATATATATATATAATCTCAATTAAATCAATGCAATCTGTGTCAAGTAAACACAAATTGATTGATTCGTGTTACCGTTGCATTTTGTATAGGCAGGAAGAACGCGTTTTTTTACATGTGTTTTTAATCTTATTAAAAATGTTTGATATACTCCGATCGTACATATAATAAGCTACATTGAATTTGAAACTATCAGTCCAACAGCCGAGGCCCGACGAGATAATCTGATCAACGCTGTCAAAAAAAAAAATTTGTTGCCCAACACTGTAGAAGATTATAACATAGCTCGGTTATACATAAAAAATATTATAGAAACGTGGGCAAAAAAAAAAATGTAATGGAAACAAGTGTATCAAACTTAAAATAAAAAAAAAAAAAAGAAAAGAAGAACGGTAGCCTAATCATCAACTGAGAGATTTTGAGAGATTGTTGACTTTGGGGGACATCAGTGATGAATAGAATAAAAAGGTCGGTGAATAGGCGACCAAAAATGTGAAACAAAAAAAAAAGACGTTTTCTTTTCTTAGTCGTACAGGAATTTCGAGCAGAGACGTCAATAGGGTTGGAGTCAGCCGGTGCGGTAAACTCAAACACGATGGCGATGGTATCCCTCCATTTCTTTCTTTATTTTTACAGACTCTCTCCCAACCCCGACTTGCACCTAGTAATTCTTAACCTAAGCAACAACGACATTAGAAAAAACACATATATTATGAGGTGAAAGTTTTTAAAAGAAATTAACAAAATTACTTTATATTGAACAAATTGCAACAAGACCGGAAAGCCTGGACTGTTCCCTGCTAGTCTAATCAGTTCTTAAAAAGCTTCAGTTTTGAATAGCTCCTCTAACAACAAGCCACAGATCGTGAGAGATAATTGTAGGTTTGACGAAATGATTTGAAGAGATTCTAGGAAGTCCAAATTGACTATGAATTTCAAAACTCAAAAATATTGACCAATCTTTGGATTCATCAAAACTAATGCTGCGGGTTTCAGGCGCCTTCGCAGCATCAGTCATTACAACGCTCACTTTCAGATAACTCAGAATACAGTTTTGAACTTTTATTGTCAAAGCTGTATATTTATCCCGCCCTATGAAACATGATACACAAAAACATAGCCTTACGGTAAATACACAACTGCAAATGTCATAAGAAAATCTTTTAATTTCTCATTGCCCTAACACATTGTAGGCCCTTGGCACAACCAAAATTGGAGACCATAGTTAGTTACCTGTGCGTTTTCAATAGGTAAACAATCCCGGGCCGGAGACCGCTGAGCCCTCTGGAAACAAAAATTGAACCTATACAACGATGACAATCTATTATTATTATAAACAAAACAGAGACGTGACACAACCCCTCAAATTTTGAAGTTAATTTTTTTTTCTCAATATATATATAAAGAGAATTAACATCCGAGTTCATTGTTAACATTTCTTCTTCGTCTTTTAAGGGCCCACGATCAATGTATTGATCATTCTGAAGTAAGCGACGCTAAATCAGGATCCGCTTCGGACGTCACAAACTTAAATTATAGGCGCCACTGATGCTATGGGAAAACGCATTTGGCGCTCTCGTGGCACCCTGTTCTTGTGGCAAATTGTCTGGTGGCACACTGCTCTTCAATTTAACTAAACTTAAACCAACCGACTCGAGCGAGATCTGCCAATTTGCAGTTTTCTATTTCTTACATACCCCCCCTCCCCCAAGAGAATGTTTCACCCGGTGTGGCCCACACACCTGTATTCCTTAGTGACGCCACTAAGTCTGAGTAGTCAACAGTTAAAATATCATTGAACAACACAAATTTTAAGTGGGTTTATTGATGTGCATGAGTAACCTGTGTCACACCGTCCATTTAAAAAAAAGAGAATCGTGACAGAATATGTCTATACTTCAGAGCAGTATCATGTATAGGTAAATAACGTCTAATATAAGAACTGACATTTCCAAAATGTCAAAATAATCAGACACATAGCTTTCAGGTGTATGTTACGTCATAAGATGAGATGAGGAAAGGATATGTTGTGCCCCTTCAAGTCCCTTTATTTGTAAAGGTGTCTTTGTATATTCTGGGTCAGACCCAAAAGTTATGATCCCCTAATTTAAAATAACTGGCCTACACTACGCATCAAACAAAAATATTCACATCCAACTAAAGAACATTTTAAGCATACAGATTTGAATAGCATCACAAGCTCGTCAGCTTTTTTAGAATACCGAATTCACCAAAGACGAGCAACGCCCTCTACTGGCTAAAGCAAACACCGTCCAACCTGTCTTCAGCTTAAACAAACATATTTTTTAATAAAGTTTAACGAAATGGCGGCTGCAATATCTCAGCATTTCGAAGCTTTTAAAGCAAGGCTTGATAAAGTTTTACACGAGAAGAATAAGCTGAACGATTATTTGGAGATCATTGAAAAAAAAACTGGTGTTAGGAGGCTCTATGTCGCGCTTGGTAAGAAGACTTCATTTCATTTATCATTTAGTTTTAGAATTTTATTAGCATCTCTCACCTTCCTTACTCGAGTACTGAAGACTGCACTATCTTGTCTTACTAGTAACTCAGGTGATGCACTCACACTACTCATTCCGACTCCATGTCTGTGCTCAGACCTTAGTTAGTATTTATTGTTAGTAAATCATTCTCACCGCCGTTCCGCAGAACGAAATAGTTTTGGCACAAAATTACATCAGCATAATGATTAATGATCATTTTCATATTCATACTCAAACTATCAAAAATACTGTCATGTCATACAGTATGATTATGATACAGCACAAAAGGAAACATTAATAATTCAATGGCCAATATTGATAGTGATAGGTGGTAATGTTTACTAAATTTGTTAAAACAAGTACAAGGTTAGTGATCACTAACTAAGAATACTGTAAATATTTTTTTTTGCTGGCATCCGTCTCTCACAATGCGACGATGGTGTGGGCTTCGGAGGACGAAATCCACAAGGCCTGGGATTATTCTGGGCTCTGGCTGGAATTGAACTCCAGACCACCAACTTGAGATTTGCTCTAAATATTACTTTGCTGTATCTAGCGATACATTGTGCATTGTGAAAGTGTAAAGCAACTATATGATGATGCCATAAGAAGACTGGTGGTGTTATTTTATAGATTATAGCCTTTAAAAATATTTTGACACCTCCCCCTTACCCCTCCCATGCACACTTCCAAGTTAACACCACCCCCTTCCCCCTCTCACGTAAGGCGTATGTAATATTATTATAATTAAGAATCCATCCATCCCTGTGGCGCTACAGCCCATGTAGGCAATGTAGGGCTTTAGCCTGCCTCACTACTTCCTCCCACTCAGTCCTAACTAAGGCTTTTCTTTTCCATGCTTGGATTCCCAGTTGTTATAGATCTTTTTCCACATCATCCATCCATCTAAGCTAAGCCTAGTTCTGCCTTTGAGCCGTTTTCCTCTGGGTTTTGGTGATGCACCCACTTCACTCCTCTGTCATTTGGCATTCTCTCTGTGTCCTACCCAGCCTAGCCTGCCCTTTTTTTTTATTTCTGCTACTATCGTGGGATCCTGATATAGACTGTACAATTCATTGTTGGTTCATATTCTCCATCCATATTCATACTTTGTTGGTCTAGAGTCTATCTGTTTATTTCAAACACACTGGGGGAAGAGGGAAGGGTGCTGGGGTAATGTCAAGTATCACTGTCATAGTTTAGGCTTGAAAAGAGAAGACAGGACAATTAAACTGACATTTCAGCAAGATGCCTTCTTCAGCAGATAATACAAAAAAAGAAACAAGAGATACTTTAAATTGAAATTCTGTGATGCGTATTATCAAGGTAACATTTAAAAAAAAATTCAAGTATTATTAATGTAAAATTTTAAACACCAAAAATTGAGAGTAGAAATGGAGGTAAATTAGGATAACTAGTAAGAGCATTTGATTTATTTCATATGGTGATATGGGCAGAAAATCTGAATTAATTTGTTTTCATTCTTCACTCCTGCTGGTGTATTAGTTGTGATAGATACATCGGATCATGTCGGATGTGCCCCTGTGTTAACCTCCGTTGAAATGGGCTGAGACCTGGGATGGCTTGTTTTGTTCAATATCCCAAATATGTTTACTGAACCTATCAGTTAGCCTTCTTCCTGTCTCAACTATATAATAGGAGTGGCATCTTCGACAATCAATCACATAAATCACATTTTGACTAATACATGTAAAGTCCTCTTTAATGCTAAAGGTCCCCTTAGGGAAGCCAATGTGTTTATTTTTCCAGTTCATAGGGCAGTTCTTTCCAATGCCTGGCCCATGGGGCCCACAGACTTGTTGTAAATGGCTCACCAGAGCTAAGACATTTTTTACCATTTGTGTAAAAAAAACAGGTTTAGATGTAAAAAATCGTATAACATTCAGTGATTCAGTATTGCTGGAAATCACATAGAGCACATGAGAAGTGATGGCATTCAAAAAAAGAAAGGGTGTGGTGAAAAGAGAGGGATGCTTGACAGGTAGCAGTAATTTATATTAAGGCTATCAGAAGATCAACAATGTGGGAAATATGTGGTGACATGCAATCAGATACTAACTACATCTCATTTCTGCTGCTTTGACCTGCCTAAAAGAAAGATGAATTTGGAAACTTAAACTATTGTAAATTGATGTGTAGCTAGCTGGTCATCCTAAGAATGTCCATTCACACCAATGGGACTGGTTTAAATGAATTATATATGTAAGCACCACATGTTAAAACGACAGTGCTTCATGGGATGATAATAATAAAACAAGAGTTAATAAGATGATATCTGGGGCATTAAAGGTGTTGCATATGACTGGAGGGGAATGTGGCCAGTTGAAACAAACTAGGCAATCTGTCCAGGTGGGGCAGGACGACCATCCTGTATTTTTTGGACGAAATCAGACTAGTTACTGGTTTTCATTTATCAGAGTCTGATCAATTCCAGGAGTAGCAAGCAGCATAAAAGTTGTGTTTGTAGTTAGTGCAATTCAGTCAAGGATAAATTCTGACAGTACGAATGATTCTTGAAAGAATATTTATTTTTTAAAAGATAAAGCAAAAGTGGCAAGTAAAAAAACAAAGTTACAGAAGGAAACCATACTTTCAACACTTCATGGGGACTGGAATTTTTGTTTTCATTGTTCAATGAAATGCCAGTGTGTTTAATATGCCAGACTTCTTTTTTTAATATGAAAAGGCTAATCTTCAGAGACACCACAAGCAGAGTTTAAGAAAGATTATCCAATTGGAACAGAGTTATGAGACACGAAAGTTATTTTTTTAAAAATGAATCTGAAGGGCAGGCGAAATGGTTTTTGTCATATCATGACCTCAAGTTAATGTTCTACTGAAGCATCTTTTAATATTAGCAAGATATAAGCTAAGAAGCAAAAACAATATTCAAATGGTGAAACTGTTGAAATTTGATTAAACAAAAATGAATATATATATTTTCAGCTTTTTCGCCAGACTGTAGCAAGACATTTTGAAACTAATTCGAGGATATGTTTGCGTAGTTGCTTCGTGATTTGAAAAATGCTGCCGGTTTTAGTCTTGCATTTAGAGAATCACTGGGAATTAATTACATAGTCCAATTTATTGTTTGGGTTAAATTTGACATGGAACAAGGATTTAAGGAAGAATTATTGGCACTGCCTCCTTTGAAAAATACACCTTGTGGAGAGTATGTATATGAGGCACTTAAGGAATTTCTATTAAAGAATAGTATTGATTTGAAGAAGCTTATTTCAGTTACAACAGATGATGCTCCTGCAGTGGTGGGAAGGAGAGTTAGCCTAATTGGTTTGTTGATGGCTATGATTTTCCAGACATTAAAGTGTATCGTATAATTCACCAGCCGAAAAATGATACACTTCAAAATTTTATGGATAATGTAGTGAAATTGTAAATTTCATTCCAGCTAATCCATTAAATAACCGGCAGTTTAAGACTTTGTTAAAAGAATATGAAAAAACATAAAAATGCTTCACCATCTGAATTCTGGATGGCCTATGTTTCTTCAGATGAATTTCAACAACTATAGAAATGTTGTAAAAAGATATTGATGATTTTTGGAAGGACATCTGTGAAGGTGGATTCTTTGTAATGACCAACATCTAGTCCAAAAAACGAAATGCTTTGACTGACAAACATTTAGGAAACCTAATATGGCCAGCAATTACTGAATACAGATGCAAATTAAATAGATTGCAAGTTCATGTCAAAGCCAAATATCTCATTAAATATGTTCTACAGTTTTTATTAGTTAAGGTGACACTGCTAATAGATATATGATTCTTTATGCATAAGCTAAGTATTAATAAATTGATTAATTTTCTAAAAAGTAAAAAATACAATTTATTTTTGAGTTGTCATGTCCTTCAACATTTGGCTTCCGAGTTAAAAATATTTTATTTAATACTTAAGGGCTATTCGTAAACACATCACTCTATTTTGGAAGATTTTTTTTAAAACACACACACACACACACCCAAGCAACCACATTTAGACCTCAATAAACATTGTCAAAAAGTCACAGCCCCCTCAGGTCAGTTATGGGACATCAGTTTTCAAAGAATATATTATATCAAGCAAGTCTGCAGACCATGAATGTGGTGAACTTCAAAGAGTAGATTTAATTTGTGCTAAAAATCAGCATGATTTAGGGGCCATCCATAAATGATGTCATAATATTTTGACACCTCCATCCACCACCTCTTCACAAATTTGTCACAATTATACTATATTATATTATATCTTACTAATTTTTTACTCCCCCTCACCCCCATAAGCTTGTCATCATTTATGAATGACACATTATTGCTATTTAATAGTTAAAAACTACTTTTTTACCCATTTAGAACTCGGTTATGTATATCTTGTGTAATACACAAATAACGTAATAAATGTAAGTGTGCTTCAACAAATCAGAGAATCAAGTTTTAAATGCTTTGTGTATTTTTATAATTGAACACACATATCCTTTACTAATTATTAATTTAATTTTTTTTTTTTCAGTTTTCATTTCGATAATCATAGTATGGCTAATGGTTGGCTATGGTTCTCAGTTTCTCTGCAACTTTATTGGTTTTATCTATCCAGCATATGCCTCGTAAGTACTGTTTTTTTACTATTTTAGTAAGAAATTGTTAGCAGCCAGTTGCTTAAAGCTGCAATTATTGCCAAAATTGTATGGATTTTATAAATTTTCAGTTTTTACTTAAATCTAAATACAATTGAGGCATCACGCTTTCACTTTTATCATGTCAAATGTTTTATCTTTTTTTTTGTAAGTCTCATTTTCATCAGTCGTAGCTAATTACTTCTAACATTATTTTAATTTTGGCATGGCAGTTACAGTAAATTATTATCGTAACATGATTGCCATGTTGTCATAGAGATCATAGTTCTCAACATTCTCAGATTTTGTGGCATTATTTTATGGTAACTGTCAAAGAGTACACAAACTTAAATACAAAAATAGAATTTGAACAGTTTTTTTTTTCTAGAATCAATTAAAGTATGTGAATTTATGCTGAATTCGTTTAATATTTCAATAGAAATTTAGCCTTATCACTGTTACTCTACTGATTTAAAAATAGTTTACTTTTAATACTCTCATGGATTTTCTTGTAGTGTCAAAGCCATTGAAAGTCATGATAAGGAAGATGACACAAAATGGCTGACTTACTGGGTGGTCTACAGTGTATTCAGCCTTGTTGAGTTTTTTTCTGATATCTTTCTGTTTTGGATCCCTTTCTACTGGCTTTTGAAGGTAAAAATTGAAAAAATAATTTGTAGAAAACTCTAGAATTAAATTTAAAAAAGCATACCACAAAGTTTTGAGACTAAACAAGTGATATTAAAAAATTGTTGACACATGAATTAACCAGATTAAGTTGGTACTTGTACCCGATTTATCAATATTACATTTTTTTAAAATTTTTCTTTCAAAGGATGCTAACTTTAGTTGTTTTTTATTACTGGTTTGGTTTTTAACTTAACCAATTATCTTTGAGTGAGGATGACGGGATGAGACCTACACTTTTGCATAAATGACCACATCGATTTGTACAGAATACACTGCACCTAATTTTCACTATGGAACAACCTCTACCTGTTTAAATACTGAAAGATGGTGTATAAATCGTTTTGTGACACACTGATCATTTTCAAAGGACATAATGGAAATATTTTTAAGATCCTCAATTTCTTTTGATTGAGAAAATTGGAATAAAAGCTTACACTGTACTTAAAAAATGTAATAAATTATTTATCTATAAGGACACAATTTAATTATAAAATATACTATATTGTAAACTTAGGTACTAATAAATGTTTCACTCTATTTCATTACACCTTTTTCTTTGATTTGCAGTGCATCTTCCTAGTTTGGTGCTTTATGCCAGTTCCTTGGAATGGTTCCCATACACTGTACTATCGTTTCATCCGACCCTTCATTTTGCGCCACCAGGATCGCATTGACACTGCTCTTGACAAAGCTAAAGAAGCTGTCAATGAAGGTAGAGTTTCAAATATTTTAATCAAAATTTTTGTTATTTGTCATTTTTAAAGAAATTAATTACTGAATTTGTCTGCCATGAAATAAGTCTGTCATGTTTTGCAATTTTGTTGTGACAATGCAAGATAAATATTGATTAATCCTCAGACTTATAACACTAATTTGAAACTTGTGTGTGGGTTTCAACTATCATTTGATGTCTTGATAATTTGAAAATCACTTTTAATTCAACTTTTAGAAACATTAAAAAAAATTACACAGCATAAAATTTATTAGAGTTGAAGTGATTTAAGAGAAGTGATAGTATGAACATTTAAATTTTAAAATGAGACCATGCTAAAAGCTATGTGTCTTTTTATTATTTTAAATACAGATACTAAGGTATAATTGTGGATCTTGATGAATACTATTGGAGTGTTAAACTCAGTTTCTTTCTAATAGAACATTGAACTCCTAATTTTAAAAGTGATTTGACCAAAAAAACTTTTCTAATGTTAAAGACTTAAGGGGCATATTTTGGACTTCAATGATTTATTATGTCCTCCATTATCCTCTGCTAAAACTTCTATTAACACCAGTGTCTGTTGTAAATGGACTTTTTGCATATTGTTTGTTTTAATTTTCCTATAGTCAGCCAGCAGCTTTTTCTGTGGTTTTATTAGCTTTAATTAAGTTTTTTAGTTTCAATTGTCTTTGACTTATTTGCTTTTTCAACACTTTCTATTTGTTTTTTTGGGAAATTTCTCACAATAAAAAAGGGAAAATTGGTGAATAAATTATCAAAATATGATGTAAACAATTTACAATCTCTATTGGATTTCATTTAAATGTTATTGAATTTCATAATACATTTTATGGAATAAATATGCATTAATTTTTTTTTTAATATGATAAATATCAATTAAACAAAAAAATTCTGTTTCCATTCCCAACTAGGCTTGCTTTAAAAGTAAACTTCTAAGAATGAACAAAATAGCTTATTTGTTGTTAAAATCAGGAGTCTGCAAACGTAATTGTGTTGATAATAAATGGCCATTCTTAGAATCAGGTGGTAAAAAGTAAGTTTCAGTTTTGCATGAGACAAAACAAAGGCAGGGACAGGCCTGTTTGGTTGACGTGCTTTTTACCTCAAAAGTAACTGACCTCACACATTTTCTTGTATTTGTATTTTTTAATCATTTTCTTGTTTCAAGTATTGATGGGTTCTAATGAGACATTCAATTTCTGTTTAAAGAGAGGGGTGGATTACATATGAATATTAATGTACTGAATTGCATCTTAGCAGAGCCCATATGTTATGTGCAAATATAAAGGACATAAAAAATTGGCCCCTGGTTTAAAATATCATTGAAATGTCATAGGGAAGAAAGATTGGGGTGTTGTTCTGGTTGTAAATTTTCAACAACAAAAAATTAAATTATAAATTAAGATATTAATAGTAGGCTACTTGCCATTTTATTACAATGCATGTGCTTTAAATATTAGGAATGGTTTGGTGACAAGGAGTATGGGTGTTGACATACCACACTACGCCACTAAATAATTATGTGATAAAGAGCACTGAGATTTTCAGCTTTGGGGTCTCTTTCATCAAGATTTATCAAACATGGTTTTGTTTCACAAAGTATAAATCAAAGTTCAAAATCTTTATCAGTTTATGTTATTATTATTTAATAATTATTAGTCTACTGTGTTTTATATCTCATTTAGTTTTAAAACCTAAAAACCATTAAGGCAAGTATCAACCATAAAGTATTACATTGACACAGAAGTGTCTATTTTTCTACTTTATAGATACGTATTAAAAACATAATACATGAGTAAAAGCTAATATATGGACTGTAAATTATTGTCCTATAAGAATGAGAAAATAAACTTGTTCCCAAGTATATAAGTGGATTCCATTTTTATTGATTATCATGTTTTATTAATTCTTTATTATAAAGTTATCATTTATTTAGTTAAAAAGCACAATGAAAAAAACTAGTAATTTGCACAAAGGAAAATATTTTCTTCCATCTTTAAATTTAATGATGTTGGACATTCAGAATGTACTACACTATGTGGTCTTGTCTGTTTGGGGATGAATAAAATAGATGCATTAATTTAGTGTAGAAGTAGGGTAGCTTTTCTGCAAGAATTAGATTTCATATCCTTAGTTAATCCTCTGTTTAGCAGTTTGCTTAAGTTCAAACAAGCTATTACTTCTCATCTATATTTACAATTTTGTTGAATTCTTCCAAAACATATCATGAGAATCTACATTTACCTTGTAGAATTGGATATTTGTGCTAAGTCTCTGTAATTTTGGATTTACTTTTCTTGCAAACTGGTGTTATTTTCAGTATTAGTTGTATTTTAATATATATCTTCAAGTGTGAGTGCTTTCAAATCAAGCTGAGCAGAGTGGTTTTAAAATGTCTTGAGACTTATGTCTCTCTAACAATCTATCTGCTACCCAGGATTAAGCAGAATCCACTCTATATATTTATAACAAGTTTATAATCATGCAGTGTTAACTTTAAAAAAAAAAATTATATCCTTTTCAAAATCAGTCTTTATCTAATTTTCTTGCCTAATATGCAACATGTTATGCTTAAACTAATTTTATATTTATAATGGAATAATTTTTCAATCAACCCTCCAAAATATTTGACTTTATTTTAAAATTTTTAAAAGAACACGCTAAAACAGTCATTAAATCTTTATATTGTATTCTATGGAGCGCTTCCATTTTTCAGCTTATTTCTTTCTAGCTTCTAATCGTTTATCTATTAAGACCATGTTGTCCATCTTTTACTTAGTTTTTAGCCTTGCATTAAAAGGTCAGTCCACTAAGGGCTCAGTAAGCGAGGGATTCAACAAATATACCAAGCATGGTAAGCTCTTGTTCAAGGTTAACATGGAAGAAAATTTAAATTTTTGACTGCATGCAGAAAATTATTGTTTACATTTTCCTCTATATGTGCTACCACAGGATCAGACTAAGTTCTAACTTACAAACCAAAACAAAAGCAACAACTTTATTGTCAAAACATTTTCCATCAATATTTCAATAAACAACAAAAAACTGCTCTCCCTAGTTGTGTAGAACTAAAAAAAACTACCTATGTGCACTGCAATTGAAGTACTTGGATATTAAGAATGTCTGGTCCTTTCAGCATTATTAACATCTTTCTGGGTTAGAATTCTTTTTTTTTTTGTTTTTGTTTTTTTGGTTGAATTTTTTTTAAAACTTATGGGGCAGTTGTGTGAACATTTTTAAAAAGTTATGAAACTATAACTAAAACCTTTTTACCCAAGCTGCAGTCTACTCAAAACAGTGTTAGCCTTCTAGTTAGGATTTTTAAACTTAAATCTGTACTTTTATCAAGAATCATTATAATTATAATAATAATGAAATTCATTGCAATTTCATGAAATTCATTGCAATTTCATGAAATTCATTGCAATTTCATAAATGAGTTTGTTTTGTTTCCTAGCCATAACCAACGTTTAATAAGTGGTGTTATAATTGAATTGAACTTCAATTAACAAGAGTGACAACATTTTAAAAAAAAAGGTCACAAAAGTTCTAGCATGGGTGGTTCAGACCTGTTTACTCTCAAACTCCTAAAATCGTACAATATCGTCTCAAAATCATACAATACTTTATCTTAATAGTAAATGAATAAAACTTCAGTATATATAATGTATGCAGTAACTACTGACATAATCTTGTCTAGTGGGGATTGAGTTAAGCTGATGACAAAAAAGGTAACTTCTAAAAGTGGATGACTGGCGCTTATATTGCAATCTGCTGTCACTTTGATTTGCAGATGTTTATCTGCTATAAATATCAATATTTAGGTGAACATTATCACACTCTGTCACTGGTTAAAAATAAAGTTACTTTTGAAATTTAATGTGGTTCAAACGCGAAGTCAGGTCAGCAAAAAATTAAATTAATTAAAATAAGAATTAACTGACAAATTAGTGTGTCATTTTAATTTTAAGTGAACCTACCAAGTAACTTGTGATTTATTTTTAGGAAAAGCTATTTAAAAATAAGAATGGATATCCATTATGCCTATTTCCAGTTAACATATTACAGTCTGATAACTAGCACAAGCTTTAAATGGGTGAAAGGAAGAAGGGGTATTAAAAATTGTACACTGAAGCACTAAAGCAAACAAAATTGAGGAGGAGGGGATGTGTATAGTATGTACACAAATGTTCTACTCCCCTCCCCCCAGTAACCCACTAAAGTAACTATTTTTGCAGTTACTATTGGGGACTTTGTGATTTACATTTGTTTTATATATGGATAATTTATACTAAACATGGTGTGATATTTTTACAGCATGCAAGGTAAAAATATGCTATTATTTTACTTTCAGGATGAATATTGTACAATTTTTGAATACCATACTGTACTTTCTGCCGAGACCCCCACCCTCGGCCATACGCACGCGTAGGCAAAAAATCTAAAAAAATTGGCAACCCCCCTTCCCACCTCACTGTAGTTGGTACTATATGAATTGCCACGAATTAACTAAAATTGTCAATATTGCTAATATTACTGTTGCCATGTCTAGTGAGTTCATTATGAAAACATAAAGCAACAATGTGACCATTACCACTATAATTACGAAAATGCGGCGGTGTTAATTTTCAAGGACCCCCCACAATCCTCACACAAAATTTCCTAAATCAAAATCACTCCATTCCCCTCTGAGCGCAAATTTAATTTAATTATTTTTATAGATGGTCCCCAACCAATCATATTTCTCGAGCCATTCAAGCTGGACATGGAATGCAAAACAAGTTAAAACTAACAACCGATAATGTACTTTTGATTATTAAATTTTTTTTATTTGGTGGAAAAAAGCCTACTGGAATGTATATATTTTCAACCCGGTCTCTTAAAATCGTGGTTCTGTCAGATCTTGGTGTACAATCGTAAAAGGCATCTTGGGATTATGTTCATTTTTGGCATATACACACATTTGAAATGTATATATGTGCATCATCTTTTGTGATGGTATGCACTCATTTGGTTTTCCACTTTTGGTCGAGTGACTGCAGCGGGCATCCTAAATTCCACCCTACCGCTTCTTCTTTTATTAAGTTATATCAAAGTGTCAAATGACAGGCACCTTTTTACTTTCAATAGAGCACTGTATGTAGATATATAACCGTCGGTAATCTAATTTAAGTAGTGGCCTTTAACATGCTTTGCACTGTATGTTAATTTATTTACTGTTACAATATGGCATTGGGTGATTTTGAGATAGTGATTACTATTCTGAGACCATATTGTACTATTTTGGGAGTTCCATTGTAACCAGGTTTGTATTCTTAGGTAAAATACATTTTATCGCTTGCACTCATCTCAGTATTTAATCAGGACTATCCAACCAACATCTTAAGGTTAAAAATAGGGGACTCATAGTGATAAGCCAGTCTTTTCTAACAGGTGGCTAACAAAAAAATGATTTATGTCCCAACACCTGTCTCTGGGAAATTTATTAAGGTGCGTTCTCTAGTAAACATATGAGTTTCTTTCACTTAAAGACTCTTCCAAGAAGTTCACTTGGTTGAGTTTATGGAACCTGGGGTAAAGGCAAATTGAAATGAAATTTGTTTAAGATTAAGTTAAATGTATTAGCCTCATACATATTCTTTTCACCGAGCTATTTGCAAAACTTTGACAAAAATATTTTGTTATTATGAATTAAGGGTTTAATTTTTTTTCAGAATAGGGAAAAGTATTTATTTTTTGTTATAAACTTTTATCAATTTGTCATTTGCAATAGCATTTCAGTGCAAACCTTTGCTTTGGTAAACCTTTTCCCCACTTTCTTGTACATGGTAACTTTTAACCCATTTAACCTTTACTGCAGTCCAACCATCTCCTTAATTCTTTTTATCAGTACCCAAGAAATTTTCAGATTTCTATAGTTGAATTTTCAAAATCAAGGTGCTTTGCAGATCATTGTTTTTACTTAAATGACTTGCTAATATGTTTTCTTTACCCAATGCAAATCTTTGATGATACCTGATGTGTAATATAACTAATATTGCCCCAACTACTCAATTGTCTTTTTTTTTTTTTAACCCTTTTTATTTAAAAGGGATATTTAATAATTATTCACAGTTAAATGTTCTTGACAATAATTTATTTAAATGGAGTCAGAAAACTGGTGTTAATAGTGTCAACATTAGTTATATAAGTCTGATTAAAATTTAATTTAAGATAATATTCTGCCAATTTATTGTTAATATTTTAGGAGTTAATATAAATTTAAAATATTAGGAATTTTGAATTATTTAAAAAAAAAAAATGAATGTCACTGTCAATAAATCTGAGGTAATTTGATAAATTCTATAATTGCTCAAATTTTTTCTTATTTGTCCCTTTAACTCTCAATTATCCAACTTTTATACTTCGTTCATTAAAAAAAAATATTTTTAATTACAAATTTTTAATTTAAAAAATTATTTCATCTGAAAAATCTGTTATTTGCTGAGAGTTTAAGTTGCCTGCAATTATTTTTTTGTGTTTGCTGATATAAGAAAAATAAAAAATAAATTTTTTGTCAAATGCTTATTAAAATGTATAGTTTTATACTGTATTTTATATATTTGCTGAAAGTAATTAGTGATTTACATATGTTTTATATATGGATACTTTATACTAATAAAAGTAATGATATTTGTTCATGACATTTGCAGAGTTTATTGCAATATTTTTTACTCTATTTAAATTGTTGAAAAATAATAAGAATTTTCTGTTAACATTTATGTTTCATCCTTCATGGGATAAAATTCCCATAAGGACATTCACATTTTAAGAATTGATTGTATTAGAAAAATTAGAAACCAGTTTCATCATAAGATCTGATAAGATGCATAGATTATTCATTATGTCAGCTTTAAGCAATGGAGATGAAATATCTTCAGTTACTTCACATTATTGTGAAATGTCTAATATCATCTCATGCTTTGAAACCATCATTTATTTCAAATATTATTAAATGCAACTAAATAACCACAAAGCTTTGTGAAACCTGAACTTTATTTAAATTGTATCTTTTCAGCCAAAGATTTGGCAGAAGAAGTGGCTGCAGATGAACTCATTCGCCGTGCGACCAGCAGCTCTAAGACTGATTGAACTGCTCTTAATAATTACCACTTCAAATAAAATCGGGCCAATGCCTCTTTGTGCTTTTGTGACTTAACTTGTTTTTGAACAAGTTCAGCACAGTTGCTGACTTAAATGAAATAAGTTTGTTGACAAAGCTTAGTCATTAAAAGCTCATGCATTTTGACCCTTCAGTTTCTTTTATTTTTATGTATTATTGGAAAGTCCACCTGCCACCTATCCCAAAAATTTATTTTGGTTAAAATAATTATATTTATATGTGTGTGTCTGTTTTCCCACCACTAATACTTTAAATTACCATAATGGGAAGTACTTTGGAAAGTCTAAATGCCTGTATCATTTGATCCCAAGAAAGAGAGATCCCACAATTCTGATATTACTTAGCTAGTTAATGAAATAGTTTATCATTCATCCATTAAAATTAATTTGCATTTATCCGATACAAAACATTAATTCTGAGTCAATAAAGTCAATTGTCTGCTACTCTGGAATATTGATAAATCCTGCAATATGTTTGTGTTGTCAAAAATTTTGAGTTGACGCGTCAATAGTTCTAGTAGTTTGGCGTTCTATTTGTAAAGCGTTGCAATAATCAATGAAAGGAATAAAATTGCTCAAGTGTGACAAATAATGCCGTTTAATCATTTTAGGAACAAAAAATGAATTATATTTGTAAAACTCTGCTGATAGGATGTAAACTAAATGTTCCTCTTCCTTCTTGTTTTATTTTTGTCATTTGCTCACACATTTAATTAAACAATATATTTATCATACTTTTTAAAGAAATACATTTAATAATCAGGTTTTATGATGTTTTTTATCTTTACTTTCAATAATATATTTAAACAGCTTTCTTAAAATCTTGCATAAAATTAGTAACTAGTTACTTCTGTCCACCTCTTATATAAAAAAAACCTTTTTTTATCGAGTTAAAACTTTCCAAAAACTATCTAAGTTCAGACTTAAACTTTATGATGCAATTCAACAATGAAAAGGTGCTTAGCATATAAATTTGTTTAAATTTGTAAATATGCATAATGTTTCTAACTAATGTAACAGTTTTTGAAAGTTCATTGATCTCTGGCTTTGTATGTTTGTTTAACAATTCTTTCATGACAATATTCTAGTCCTTTAAATTTTCTGTATATATTACACGAATGGCAAACAGTTGTAACTCTTTCTGATAGATCTGTGGTTTTAAACTCATATTTTTTTTTTATCTTATAACCAACTAAAACTAAAATTCTATGACACATCATTCAAGTCAATGTTAAGACAAAAATTTGTCTGTTTCATTTTTATGGGCCTGTTAAAGTAGATGGAACATATTTATTATTTTTATTAGTTGAATGCCAATTCTGGTTGAAAACCGCTCTCCTGGATCTTGTGTGGAAGTGATAATCTCTGAACACTAATCATTATCAATTATTCACTGTCTCATTTAATTTTTGAAAAAAAAAAAATTTGCTAAATAAAAAAAACCATGATGAACTCTAAATTTCAATTTTATTTTTATAAAAACTTATCAAACAATTTTTGCTACTGCTTTTAACATAGCCCTTAAATTTAATGAATGATATTTATTTTTCGAAATTGACAACCAGGTTAGGCAGGATAAACCAACACATTCATGTAATTGCAAACAAGTTTTGTAAAACCTTTTCCTTTTAAACTATTTTACCCAGTGTCACTGTGCAATACAGATTGTTACTTGGTTTGTTTAAATATATCTCTTGACATACTGGTTTCTTGCTGTACTATCCCTTTACGATGTTTATATGGTAAAATTTATATGGTGTATCGACATGCTTGTTACTCATCCAAACCATAATTTGTGATTTTACTCATTCACCTTTATTTTCATCATTTTGGTGTTGGTCAATTTTATTTGTAATATTTATTTTCATCACCATAACTCTTTTGTTTACATCAAGATAAATTTCTGTGCACTTTTCCCAAAGATCTTTCCCCCCCCCCCCCCCCCCCCCCCCCCCCCCCCCCCCATCCACTCCCCGCCCACCTCATTTTGCTATAAGGAGAGTCAACAATGAAATCAAAAGCATATGAGTTTGTGAGTGGCAAATACTGTAATAATTTTTAAAAGATAACCAGTTTAGCATTATTCACATAAAATTTTAGCTGAACCTTATTAAAATTATTGTTAGATTTTCCTATCATGGTATAAGTTGTAATGACATTTATCATTATAAAATTAAATCATGAAGCATAGATCAGATGCGCTGGGTTTTGTTTTCCATTAAGTTATTTAAAAATTCAGAATATCTAATAATTATATTTGCTTGTTCATGCTGGTTTTTTTGATATTTGTACTTTGTCTCAACTTTTCGTAAACCACAATGAATATTCAGAAAACTAAAGCCAGTGTGCTAATAAAATATTGGTTGTGTAGTGCTTTTCAATTCACATATGCTTTTAGAGTAAATTCATTCAAAAATCCATGCTATTATTTATAGGTTAAAACCTGCTTGTTCCTGTTTATCCCTCACAAATATACTTCATGTTACTTATTACTAGGGACACAATAGAATTAATTATACAATAAATGTATTGCTTTATCACCTTGTACCAACAAATATCTTTCCCTCTTCGGTTATTTAATAATAAATATTCCTTAATGTTATGCATTCTCAGGATGTTTATTTTATTTTTAAAAAGATTGTTACTTGTATTTTATTTACTAGAAAACACTTGCATTTTTTTATGCTTTTTTTTTTTGCAATCTTTTAATTTTAACCTGAAAAACTAAGGCTTTTGAAATTGTAGACCCATGTCTAAATGTTTTTTTTTAGACTAATAAAAACATATGTTGGTCTTTGCAAAGTATTGTGTTGTATTTCTCATATGAATATTTAAATGCTTGTAATAAAAATGGGTTAATAACTAAAGCCTATGATTGGTACACACAATGAAACATTGCTGTATTCTATTCAATGCTTAGTAACTTAACATTAACAACCTAAAAGTTTGCTGTTTAACAGGACTTAATGCTACTGAAATCTGAAGATAGATAATGCATGCCCCTTATTACAGCTGAGATAGATTTACCTTATTGTAAGTCCTTTTATTTTCTCAAATTACAATTTTCCCATTGGAATAGCTCATCATATAAACAATGCTGTTTATAAAATAAACCAATAGTTAGTGCAGCTCCAATAAATATTGCTCAGTGCATATAAGCTTTAATTAATGAAATGAGACACTTTAAGTGATTCTGAGGAAAAAAACGGTTAGGGATTGACTGGTAACCGGTACTTTCATTTTCCCAAGGCTCAACTAAGAAATTGAACAAGAACAACACACAAAAAACTGAATCTAGATTAGAGAGTACTTGGCAATAAAATCCCCTAGCCCCAATAGTAACATGCAAATGAAACAAATCGGTAGGCTGAAATCTCAAAATAAATTTTTTATTGAATGTTCCGTTTTTGGGCTTTCTAAGCACATCTAACACATATATAGCAGCTTTACTATAAAATGGTCTAAAACATTTTGAAAGGTATCTTATAAGTTGGTTACTGTGACCCATAGCCTCCAAATATTTGACTATGTTAAAATCATATAAAAGTTTTTAAATTAACACTGCAGCATTCAAATATTTGAACTTAATTCATAAGTTAAAATAAGAAACATTCAATGAATTTAAGCACCTTTTAAAAAAAATATATAAACACAGTTTAGTTTAGGGATGGTGGTGAACCGCTAGTCCAGGTTACTTCAATAGATGGCCATTTTGTTTGCAGGCATAACTTTATTGGACTTGAGTCGGTAATGAATTGAGTGTCCACCTCTTCTTCCAAAACAGCTTTACCCTCCACATAAGAAACCTTTAAAAACAATCAAAAGTGAAAACAATTATTTATACAATTATTTCTTGGTAATTTTACCCCTGAATAATGCACAGAAAATGTCATGGTACATACTTTTTTTTTTTCTAATACTTTAATTTTATAAAATAACAGTAGCAATAGTAGCATTAAAATTTTTTTTTAGAGAAATGTAAATGTAAGGAAATTGAAATAATTTTGCTAAATGAGGGGATAAGTGAAACAATACCAGTGAGCACCTGTCTGAAAATTTCTTGCACAGAATAATTCAGCTAATTTGCCCTTATGGATAAAACAGTTCTTTTAAAAATCAGTTTGCAACTTTGTTACAAGCAATGAAACTAAATGGTAGGTTGCATCTACTGGACCATTTTTAATCATTTACAAATTTAAGTATCCATTAATGGAGGAGGATCAAAATAATATTAATATATCTAATTCACCCACACAACCCTATGGCATGCAAGGGTGCACTTTGAGTAACATGCTAAAATATTTTATTTACTTTTTAAAATATCACTGGCACATTTACCTACCTTTCCACCTGAACAAGACTGTGGCAGCCCATTATAATGGTACACACTGAAAGACTGCGGAGTTTCTACTGACTGCTCAGGGAAAAACTCTTCCATAAAACTGTTCCGTGTAATAATTCCTAACTCTTCACTATCAAGTTTCTCCTTCATTATGTCAACACTAGAAGAAAAATAAATTCAATACGGAGTAATCAAGATGTTGTAGATTATATTATTGTCCATAACTATGCATCCTAAATATTTATGCTATTGAAGGTGCTGCCACATTTGACAAATAAAAATATTGACTAATTTTTACATGTACATCAAAAACTATCCTATTATAATAAAATGACATTAATAATAAGCACCATAAAATGTCTTTTGCAAGAAGAATGGGCTCGTAATTTATACATATTAGTATGGCGATTAAAAAGTAATAAATTTAAATATCTGGTTTTTATTTTTAAAAATCTTACAAGGAGTTTCTCTTCACATATTAGTGGATACTGCAATGTATCACTGGTAAATCTATATGTCAGTTATTGCAAGTACTGTAACTTATGAGTGAACTTACTATTCTTTATCTGCTACCAAATCTAACACTTTCATAACTTCTTCAAGCATTGAAGATGAGATGAACCCATTTCCTGCAATGACAGTTTAAGTCAATATTACAAATATAGATAGTCCAACTGTAGAAAAAAAGACATCTTATGATGTCACAGAATCATACCTACTTCACATCTAGTTGACAAAAATATTTTATTCCCCCACCACTGATTCAAAAAAAGATTTTTAAAAAATCCTTTACTCCAGTACCACTGCTTCATTGCAATTATTTGCTAAACTCGTAACATTTGGTTTCACCCAACGTCACTCATGAGGGGGGACGTGTCACTGTCAGGTCGCGTGATTATGTATGTGTTTGTGTTGATAATTTTTTTAGTGAGCAATAATGTTTTCTTTTTGGAACTTCCCTTTATTTCACACCACTTTGACTCAGTCATGAATGCGCTATAAGCATTTCCAGTGCTGCAATAATTTTTTGTTATGGGGGATAGATTTGTTATAAGGGACAAGGAAGACATTCGATAGGAAGTGAGTGGGTAATTTTTATTGAGCCGGGTATATTTGGGAAGATGGACCGAAGTTTTTCATTCATATTATGTGAAGACCATTAATGTTGGTTTGTACTGATTCTGTAAATAATTAAAGAATATTTGTTTGATCAAAACCATATCATGAAGTTCTTTGATTTGAAGCGAGAAAGAAACAGAGTTTTTAAGACTGATATTGTTTTCTGTTGCCGTTAGGAGGGGACCTACCCTAGACATTACACCACAGACAACACTTGAATATTCCAGCATCTTTAAAAAGGTATTAATATAAAGGGATCTAAACCTTCTGTCGAGCTACAGAATAAATATTTTGAATACTTGATATGTTAAAAAGATTAAATGCTACAACTGCCGAATATAAAGAGCTGACCTACTAAGTTCCAAATGATAAGAAAAAAAAACATGAAATATCAACAGAAAATGTGTTTTGTTTACAATGATAAGGTGTAAAATAACTTCACAACCTATTTCTTAGCATGCTTGCATAAAGCTACAATTAAATTATGAGAGGTAATGCTTTTACCTTCAGGATCAAATTGGGAAAAAACATGCCTGGCGTTAGCAGATGGACTATCTTTCACCACTAAGCTCTCTGCCTGCAGGGCAAAGTAAGATAGGGCAACATTTAAAGGGCACTTAATGTATTTTTATCCTGGATGGGATTTTTTTCCACATTTGTTCATGTCAGCTATGATTAATGATGATCAGTATTTATCTAAATTATACAAAATACTGCAATTTTAATTCATATGGTGGAACTTAGTGAATATGGTGCATCTTAAGTGAACATAAGTTCAAATGGGAAATGATCAGTTAAGACACAAAGAACAACAAAAACTCACTCATCTCTTAATTTCACAAATAATATTTTTTCAATTAAAAATAAAATGGTTATGGTGGCGAATCTAGATTTGTACCGGTAGCTCTGATTATTGCAATTTGATTGAAAGATACGTTTTTTCCCTAGTTATCTTTTTAAAAAAATGCCTTATCTTAGACACTTATTACTGACAGATGCATACTTCCTTTTGTAAAGTGTTAATTCTTTAACTGGCATTTAAAAAAGGATATTTTTTATATCTGACAAAATGTCTGATGGCTACATAAACAATTTATCTTTTATTAAAATACTTAAAGAGAAATGTGTTTTTAGTTTTCAGATGCTTGTCTGAAGAATGAAAAAATCCTTAAAAATTGTTCAAACTAACCCTTTTAAACCAATCTATAAAAAATATTTATGTGATTAATTTAAAAATCTCTATAAAATTATGGACTCATTTAAATAAATTATGTGATCATAAGGCTCAATTTTCTATATCTTGTTGAGATTTAGATTGCAGTCTATTATTTGTTTTATATCAGTGCATATCTTAAGTAACTCTATGATGGTTTCTTCAGTTTCAAAAAAATATTTAAAAAGTCAGCATCTTAATCTGTTAATAGAGTTAAACATTTATTTACTTACTGGTAACATAAAGTTTAACAAAAGAAAGTTATAAATATTTAAATGATTAAACAAACCTACACTAGAAAACAACACAGTCAGGTGTGTTTCACTCCCAAGGATCCAGACAGGATACTTAGGGTTCTTGTAAAACCATCCCACCTTTAAGAAATTAAATTTAAAAATTCTCATTAATTAACTATTACAAAACTTGATTGTAACTTGTAAAGTTAACAAAATAACCACGAGATCATAACTTTAATTTATACTATGTATCATAAGTTAAATATCAGAAAGTGACTATTTTAAAATCATTTACTATCTTTGGTAAAAATTTACCTATGTTATGTAGCATATTCCTTTAAAAAAAAAAACAACAGGACAGGACAGGAGTATTTGATAAATAAAACAATTAATATGATGAAATAGTAAATCTTTAACATTTTTATTTTTTCTGTACTATTTCATTTTCACTCTTAAAGGAGTAAGTTTTACTCCAATGCTACGGCTCCACTAGTCCGGCTTCATTCCACAAGCTGTGCTTTTTTTAGTGTGGGCTTAACTACATTCATTTTAAGAGTGCATTAAAAAAAAAAGAAAAAAGAAAAGAACTTCTAAAATCTCAAATGTATATGTTTAGTTGAGTTGATAAAGGTGAGGTTGCGGATTAATTAATTGATAACTCTTTATATTTTTGGGATAATAATAATGTTTTCAACATTTGACATGTTTAGTTTGGTCAAACAATATAAATAGATTTTAACCCCCCATATTTAGTACATATATTAATCAGGTCTCTCATAAATCTTTAAAGCAAAATACAATGCAGAAGTTAAGTCTCTTACCTCACAATATCTCATATGTTCCAAAAGAGTCAAGAAACCAATACTTGATTGCTTTTCTATACCCCTGAGCTCTGGCAAAAAAAACAATAACAACAAAAAAAAAACGAATTTTAATTTAATTAATTTTTTACCAATGTCAAGTGACTTAATTAAATCAACCATAAGAATTCAGTTAATAGAGCAAATATATTTTATATTAAATTTTCAATCAAAATGGATATACTTAATCCTGCAATATCTTTGTCATTGTCCCACACATAGGAAGTGGCTTGTGAGGTTAACAATAGATTTATTAAACTCTGACTGTGAATAGAAAATACAAATCAATCAGTGTCTCATAAAAATTTGTTCAATGTTTTTAAGTTACTGGGTACTGAAGTAACAGCTCTAACATAAAATCTATAAGAGCCGGTAACCCTCTGTATTGGATATCAGATGATGCATAACAATATTACTACTACTGTGTTGTAAAAACAATAGATATAATGTGACTATGATCCAAGTTTTAAAGCCTTCTAAACAAATTTAAAAATTAAAGTGTAACACACCTACTCTGACATGGCGTGGGATCTTATTTCTTATGCTGTAGGTTATGTCAGTAGTATGGTTACTTATGTTATGTTGATATTTCAGGATGCCGACTAAGGCTTCTTCATTCTTCCACTTATAATCCGGGCACGCAAATAAGAATACTGAATCCTGGTTAAACTTACAGTACTTTATTGAACACACTTTATATTGATAATATTAATAAATAATCCTTGCATGAATGTAATTTCACATATATATCTATAGTATTCCATCATTAAGAAAGACACGTCCTCACACTAAACTGTCAACTGTCTAATCACACAGCTCTCACGCTACTGACTCTACTGCTCTGCGCTCAGCTCTCTACTATCTCAGTCAACTCATACTTTATTACCAGCAAAGCGTGCAAAACAACCGCTCTGACAAAAACATAATTTTACTCTCCAAAAACGTGGAGTTCACATTTGCATCTCAAAATACATGGTCAACACAACTCACTGTTCACTCATGCTACCTCTCTGTTTTCATGTGAAAACATAGTCCGTTACATGCCCCACCCATCTGAAAAAATTTTGTGCAACAAAATTTTTGGCACAAAATAATATGCTGAAATAATGATAATGTCTCTTAGAAATTTTCAATCCCACATCTAACAATCAAATCAGTGTAACAACATTAACATTTCATCATTATGAAATACAGAGTCTTTTACTGTTAATATCACACTTAATAGTGAATAATTTACCCTGGCAAAAAATTAAAAAATCACCAATGACAACCTCTTAAAATCTTTATGTATGATAATGTGAAGTGACATTAACATCTTAATGAATAATAAACACTGCAAAATGAATGTAACAATCTTAAATTTTGCATTAGAAAATTTACAATTGGTTAAAATCTGATATTCATTTACAAAAATTGATATGTACAAGTGTCTTATCAAAAAACTGAGTGAACGTATGTGTGTATATTCATTTAGAATGTCTGACTAATGTGTCTTAAGTCAGTGTCTTTGTCATTGTCTGCATGTTCAATGTGTCTGGAAAGGAAATCAGCTACTGTATTGTCTTTTCCTTTTATTGTCCTTATCTCATACTGATAATCTAATAGTATCAACGACCATCTGTTTATTTTACTATTTGCTATTTTCTTTCTATTTAGTGCCATTAATGGCTTGTGATCAGTCAATAATGTAAATTTTCTGCCTAATAGATATTTCTGTAGTTTGGTAAGTGCCCACACAATTGCTAAGCATTCTTTTTCAATAGTTGAGTAGTTAATTTCAGTTCTGCTTAGTGCTCTACTTAAATAGGTAATTGGTCTTAATTTATGATTGTATTCTTGCATAAGGCAAGCTCCTAATCCAATGTTGGAGGCGTCTGTAACTAGAGTGAAAGACTGTTTAAAATTGGGTGATAACAATATGTTGTCACTTTGGAAAATTTCTTTGATTGTTCTCAGTGTATTTTCGCATTCATCCGTCCATACTATTTGTTTCTTGCTATCTTTATTTATTAGTTTCCTTAAGGGTAGTGTAACATCAGAAAATTTTGGAACAAAAGTGCTGTAAAAATTGCACAAACCTAAAATGGCTTTTACTTCTTTCTGAGTGTGTGGTGTTTTTATATTTAGTATTTTTCCTCTGTTGTGTTCTGTGGGCTGAATTGTGTTCTTACCGACTTTAAATCCTAAAAATTCAATGTCCTCTTGTGCAAACTTTAATTTGTTTGGTGCTATTGTAACTCCATGTGCTCTTAATTTGTTTAGTACTGTTTTTATAGTCTCTATATGTGTCTTCATATCCTTAGTGTGAATGCAGATATCATCGACAAAATGTACTACATTTGGTATGCCTTCTAACATGATTCGCATGAATCGAGAAAATGTTGCGGTGGAATTAACTAGACCAAATGGCATTACTGTCCATTCGAACAAGCCTTCCTCTGTGGCAAATGCAGTCAAAGGCATGGAATCCGGATGCATGCCTATTTGCCAGAATCCTCTGTTTAAATCTAAGTGGGTGAATAATGTGGAGGAGCCTATTTCTTCCAGTAGTTCTCTGGTGTCCCTCATGGGTTCTGCATCTAATTGTGTGATTTTATTTAACTCCCTATAGTCACAACATATACGGCACTGGCCATTTTTCTTTTTTACTACTACCATGGGTGATGCTATTGGTGAATCTGATCTTTTAATCTTGTTAGTCTGTATTAAATGATTTAGTTCTTTCTTTACTTCTTCCCTAAATGCATATGGAATTGGATAGATTTTGTGTTTGAATGTGGGTTCCTGTGTTAATATTATCTTGTGTTCTAAACTGCTAGTGTGTCCTATGTTCTCTGTGATGACATCTTTGTATTCTTTTAGAATTGTTGTTAAGTGTCTGTTTGTTGTGGTGTTATTTTCATTGTCTTCTAATTGTATAACACTAGCAACGGTGGCTGTGCTACTTATTTCATTACTGATGGTTTCTAACTCTTCAGGAACAGAGTCATATTTTCTGAGCAAGTCCACATGTAGGACTTTCAATTCACCCTTCATGTGAATTACATAATCAACTAAATTTAACTTGTCATGAATTGTAAACGGACCCTGCCAAATCTTTTGTCCATTATTGTTTGGCAACCATACCAAAACTTTATCATGTACTTTAAGATCTCTGAGGTATCTATGTGTATTCTTTATATGTCTTTGTCTTTTAGACTCCCTATCAGTGTTTTCTTTAGCATTTTCTATGCCATATGTAATCCTCTCTCTAATTTTTGTAATTATGTCAAATGTGTCTTGTTGTGTGCCTTTCTGGCCTAAAATATTTTCTTTAAAAAGAGTTAACGGTCCCTTTGGATTGGCCCCAAACATTAGCTCAAATGGAGAGTACCCAGTGGTGTCTTGTATACTCTCTCTATAGGCGAATAAAACCATGGGTATATATAGGTGCCATTCTCTAGGGTGGTCTATTGTTGTTTTATTTAACATTGTTTTTAGTGTTTTGTTCCATCGTTCTACCATACCATTAGCCTGTGGTCTATATATTGTGGAATGTACTTGTATTATACCTAGCATTTTTGTAACTGCATTGGTTAAGTTGGAAGTAAACTGTGTTCCATTATCTGACAATATTTTATCAGGGAACCCATGTCTTGTAAATACATCTAATAATGCCATGCAAATTGTTTCTGAATTAATGTTTTTGAGGGGAATTGCCTCTGGCCATCTAGATGCCATATCAATCATGGTTAAAATAAATTTGTGTCCCTTATTTGATGGTGGATTAAGAGGACCAATGATATCTATAGCTACCTTCTCAAAGTTTCTACCTATTTTGTCTGTGGGTTGTATGGGTGCTCTGTGTTTACTGTGTATTGGGTTTTTTGTCAGACATGGTATGCATTTGTTTATGTGTTTCTTTATGTCCTTGTGTATGCCTGGCCAATAAAAATTCTGTGTGACCCTCTCTAATGTTTTTTTTATACCCATGTGTCCAGCCAAAGGACTGTCATGTGCATGGTTGAGTATTTTGTTTCTGAGTATTACTGGTACTACTATTTGAGATTTTTTGATTTCACCTTTCTCAAAATTTCTGATTAGAATATTGTGTTTTATTGTGTAATTATGTCCTCTATAAATTGTGTTATTGTCCTTAATTTTGTTTCTAATGTCCTGAATTTGCCTATCTTCTGTCTGCATTCTAATTATGTCCTCTCTAGATATTTGTTTTGGAATGTCTAATTTTTCTTCTATTTCAGGCTGTGTCTGACTGGTTTTATGTTGTTGTCTTGTTATTGCACTTATATACTCTTTGGTTAAATTTTTTGATTCAATCCAATTTAAGAATAGTTCTTGGGAATTATCTGGAATTTCTTTAATATTTCCAATTATTAACTGACATACTGGGTTGTCCATAAGTACTGCCGTTACCTTTCCTGTCAACCATGGACAGTCTATGTCCACTACTGCTTTATAACATTCAACTTTTGTGTTATTTGCTAACATGACTGTGGTTTTTTCAGATATATGGTCTTTAGGATCAATCAATTTTTTGTCAACTACTATTGTTGTACAACCTGTGTCTCTTAGACACTGAACAAGCTGGTTGTTTACATAAGAAGGAAAAAATTGTAAACTTCCTTCACTGTGACATGCGCTAGCTAAAGTTTCATGTGGTTTGGTGTTTTGTCTACTGTTAGTCTGATTGGAATTATATCTTTGATTTTTATATGGTTGTCTACTCCTATTTGCACTGTTGTATCTAATTGGACTACTGTTGGGTGATGTTCTCTGATAGTATTGTTGTGAATGTCCTAAATCTCTATGTAATTTCCTACACTCATATTTTTTGTGACCTGGAATGCCACAGTAGAAACATTTGTTGTTGTTTGAATAATTAGTATATGGTGTCTGGTAATTGTTTTGATGACTTTTCTGAAATTTATTGTTTTGCCATCTGGCAGGTAGGCTGTGGTATCTTCTGTTTTGATATGTGTTTTGTTTTTGACTGTCCCTATCACTGGGTGTGTTTCTAATAGAGGCTAGTGTGCTGTTTCTATTGTCTAGCTCTTCATTGGGGTGAGCATCTTTAAATGTTGTGATTGAGTCAACTAACTCACGCTCATTTTTAATCTTTCTCTCTTTAAGGAATGAAAATAAAGAGACTGATGCATTTCTTAATATTTTGTCTATGATAAACATATCCAGTAATGCTTTTGGATCATTTAGGTCAATTTCAGTTAATTCAAGCCATTTGACAAGATTGTCTCTAATATTGAATATGGTGGTGTTAGGATCTACTTCTCTCTCTAGTCTTATGTTATGGAAATTTTTTCTATAAATGTCTTCTGTGTTTCCATAGAACTTTAACAAAACTTTCTTTATATAGGTATAATTATTCTTTTGTTCTTCACTGAGTGAATTAATAATACTTAGGCTTTTCCCTGATAGTCTGCTCAATAAAATATTAGCCCAAGTCTCTTCTCTATAATTGTAAGACTGACAGATGCCCTCAAATTGTGATAGATAACTAATAATTTCTTCTTTATGTTCATTAAATTCTCTAAATTTAGGTTTGTATGTGCTATTGGTTTCTCTATTGCTTGTTGATGGTGTATGCTGTCCTGATTCTATTCTAGCTCTTTCTAGTTTTATTTCTTCCTCTCTTAATTTAAGTTCTTCAATTTCTTTTTGTCCTTTTAATTTCATTTCTTCTATTTGTTTAAGGTCGCTTCTCTCTAACAGTCTAGCTTCTCGGTCTTTGTCTTTGTCTTGTTTTTCCCTAAGTTTGTCCATTTCTCGAGTTACGAAGTCAGCTAATTTCTCCTGCTTCAAGCCAAGCTTCTCACCTACTTCTAATAATTCTAAGTACTCTGCCATTTTTAGTTATAATGTGAGTAACTAAAATTATATTGGTATGTATCAGTATATCAGTTATCTCCTTATTCTTTAGTTATTAATTAAAATAGTTTACAATATTACATATATTTACATGTTAATGAATGTATACACAAATGCAAGTTGATACATGAATTATAAGTTATAAATAAGTGTAAGAAAAATTTAAAATAATTAAATTGTCTACTTCACAACATAAATACAGATATGTAGACGTTTACATGAATACAAATGAGACAACAAATACAAAAGTACTGTTTAGTTTATGGACCACAAGATAGTAGAAAATATGACAGTAGGTTGACAATATGTATAACAATGACAAGACAAATAGCACAAATATGACAAGATCTACTAAAAAACAACAGTTATGACAATGTACAAACTAGACTTCACAGCTAACATAAAATTATCCTACAGTGTTATAAATAGGGCCAGAAGAAACCTTTACTGTTTTAATAAAAAAACTTCCCTAGGAAAGATAACACCGTGGATATTCCTAAAGTATACTCTAAAATTAAACTTATAATATACAGAAAAAGTAAAAAAATTTACTTAATCTAATTAAGTATGATATAAGTAGATTTTTAAAGTCTTAAATTATATATAATACATAACACATAAATACATAAATACCAAGTGTTTAAAAGAAATCTGTAGTTGGTCACCTCTGCTCCTCTGTGACGCTATGATCTCTGTGTAGTCGATAATCCTTCTATGTAGAAAGTGTACTTGGGTAAATACTCCAATGCAAAAGTTATATAATCCAATGAAAAAGTTACAACACAAACTGCTTCAATAATCCAATGCAAGTACCTTGCGTAATAGAAGTAATAGTGTAATAATCCAATTGAAAATAGTGTCAGTGTACTTTTTCTCCGATTCAGTTGAACTTGTGAGTAATTAAAGAATTACTTTACTTGAAATGCGCACTAGGCTTTGTGCGGCTTGTATAAAGTGAAGATTATGCTGGGGAAATCTTACTTTCGATGTCTTGATACACACATCTCATCTGTAATAACGTCAGACTTCTACTTCTGTTGGTCTTGTAATATGTAGGCTTACAGTAAATCTTTGCTACAGTTGTAAATAACTTGAAAATTTTCCTTATGCTGCTAGTTGCCGTGTACCAGTTGACTGAACTCTGAACTCCCGTGACTGACCTCAATTATCGGCTAACTCTGTGTGTAGTGAACTCGTCTCGGACTTGATTGATACACGGTCGTAATGTCGTTCGCTGTATTCTTCCGCTCGAATTTTAAAATATATCATTGTTACTCAATGTTCTGTAACACATTTCTGACACTTCTTTACAATATTTGTAACGCATCGTCGTTACACCGCTTCTGACACCATTTGTAACACACCTACTCTGACATGGCGTGGGAGCTTATTTCTTATGCTGTGGGTTATGTCAGTAGTATGGTTACTTATGTTATGTTGATATTTCAGGATGCCGACTAAGGCTTCTTCATTCTTCCACTTATAATCCGGGCACGCAAATAAGAATACTGAATCCTGGTTAAACTTACAGTACTTTATTGAACACACTTTATATTGATAATATTAATAAATAATCCTTGCATGAATGTAATTTCACATATATATCTATAGTATTCCATCATTAAGAAAGACACGTCCTCACACTAAACTGTCAACTGTCTAATCACACAGCTCTCACGCTACTGACTCTACTGCTCTGCGCTCAGCTCTCTACTATCTCAGTCAACTCATACTTTATTACCAGCAAAGCGTGCAAAACAACCGCTCTGACAAAAACATAATTTTACTCTCCAAAAACGTGGAGCTCACATTTGTATCTCAAAATACAATTCATTGTCCTCGTGGACAAAAACATGGTCAACACCATTCATTGTTCACTCATGCTACCTCTCTGTTTTCATGTGAAAACATTGTCCGTTACATAAAGCAATAATGACATTAAATTTTTTAAAAGAGGAAAAAATAAATCCTTTTTGCATTCAACCCATTTTTATCTTATAAATAACAACAGAATAATGCAAATTTATTGGTTTTATTAACCCAGGGGAGTGGGAATAAAACACACAAAAATATTGTTATTATTGTCACATTTGTATAAGTTGTTCCTCAAGTTTTTGGTTCTATTATGTAAGATGAATCATTATTGTTATGAGCCTTTAGTTATTTTGATCAATTATTTTGATTGTGTGATACCGATACTGAGATGCAATTATTGAATTTTACTAACCTTCCATGTCCATAAACCCCATCAATCAAGGGCTCTGAAGGATCCTCAACTTCATTTTTTATTTGTTGAACACCCTGCATCAACAGAAATTTAAAATTAATGCCTACAAATTTGGAGTAAAAATAAAGAAAAATGTGTTTTACTTATTGAGGATGTAGAAAAAGAACTCTCTTGATAAAAATCAATATAATATAAGGTAATACTGAGCATGATCACATGGTTTTGTATGGCACATTTATAATTGAATGTAGAACTGTAGAAAAAACTTTAAATTAGAAATATATCTATGTAATGAAGAAACTGTTCTGACAAGATTTTCCAACTGTTGCTTATAGCAACATCAAATTGACATAATATTAGTAAGTTCGCAATGGCAGTCAAGTAATAATATTATATTTTGAAAAGTACTTCTATTTTTTGGAAAATACAAAGCAATCAGTGCCTCATCACAATCAAAAACTAGCCCTATGCAACGAACATTATTTTACAGCCATATAGCAAACATTGTTTAATAATTTATGTATTGTAAGTTACATATAACATGATATAGTGTTTATTCCCTTTTTAATGGCCTATGAAGCAAGTTTGAGAACCATTTTCACACTGTTTACTTAAAATTATTTTAAATTATAAGCAAACAGTTTATATTTTTAAATTATACTTTTTTTAAAATTTAGTAATTATTTTATTTTAAAAATTGTAAACCTAAACAACGGTAATTGTCAAAATAAATCTGACTATCCTTAGAAGCTAGATTATACCCAATACCAACCTTTGTGAGTAATAAAGAGTAAAGATACAGTAAAACACCAAAACTGGATTGAAATTCTTGTAGAGATTTCTTCAGAGCAACTTGTAAGTCTGCAATTTCATTGCAGCGGAAACACCTAAAACAATTCATATCACAGTATAATTGTTCATAAAACAATTAGGGTTGCACAAATGACCATTAAAATTCTCAATTTATCAGCCTTGCTACACTGTTGGAGTGGCCACCAATAATTTATTATGTCATTAAAACACTACTGATTTGTGTAAAAAAAGAATTTTTTAAAGACATCTAAAACTTCCCATATTTGATTTAGTAAGCATTAATTAAAATCATTTAACACATCAATATTATATTTAAAAAAGCATCTAACATGTGGTTAGCATTTTTTAATATCCAAAAACCAATTAAGTGGTCAAATAAGATAGATAAAGATCAATCTTCAAAATGGAAAATGAGGCCAATTACTATAGATATTTTCAGATTAACACTTAATCATTTTCATATCTAATATTTAAAAAAATATTTAATATAAACAGAGGATACCCGGTATATAAAATGATGGTTTAAAAAAACTAATTATTAAACACATCAATATTTTAAACTGTTATACAATTATCAGAATCCGAAAAGAAATGTATCAAAGTAATAATATTAAATAGAATATCTCTTACATTAATTTAAACTGCTTGTGACAGAAAACACCAAATAACAAATACATAATATGTTTTATAATTTGAGCTATTTACTACTATGTGCAGATGAAATTCTGTGGTCACAAAATTTAATCATTGTAATTCATGAGGTAAATTTATACATTACTTATAGAAAGCAATGAGCTTACAGTACCAAAAAATTAAATTAAATACCGGTACCTTAAGTTGGCATGGAATAACTCTGGATGAGGTAAAGGTTCTAAATTATTGTGAAGAACCTGGTCTTCAATATGAGGTGTGCTGGCTTCACCACCTTCAACCAATTTCTGATGTGCTGGTGCTTTCAATTGATTAGACGATGCTAAATTTCTATCTAGACCAACTAAAACATATTGTGTTGAATTCGTCTGTGTTAATATTTCAAAGAGTGCCTCCAAAAGTAAATGGTTTGCTCTTTCACCTGAGCAATGTCAATAAGAGAAATTAAGTGAACAAAGAGACTGAAGTTATTACTATGTTGCAGGAAACATGATTAACTTACTTTTCTAAAGATTTACTTAGAACAATTAAAAATTCTATGAAAAAACCCACGCCCACACATTTTGAAATTTAGGAATTGTAATTCTCATTATGGAAAAAATAATGACAATGATGATATTAAATAATTGTTTATAAAAATACTGATACTAGATATATAATAATATGGTATCAGTATAGGCCTAGCATAATGGACTTACTTGTGCTTGATTTAAAGGTTTCCATGTTACAGCTTCCTTCTTTGAAAAGACCACATTTTACTATGAAGGCTTGAACTGAAGCAATCACAGCGCATGGACCTCCCTCAAACTGCACTAGAGCGGTAGAAGTGTGTTCACTAAATACAAATCCTAAAAGAAAAGAAACATTCTAATTCATTTATTTATTCAATTTATTTTAAACAGAGTTACCATTTCAATTTTTACATATGGTACTGAAATTCAGTCTGAATGGTACTCTTATTTACTAGCAGTAGTAGTAGTAGAGTAGTAGTAATAGAACTGAATAGACATAAATTTCTGAAATATAACTTTAAAATATAAGGATACACAAACAAGTTTAATAATTGGGCAATGGTCAAGCGAGCTCTTTCATTTGAACTGAATCTATGATGCTAAAGTATGATCTAGCCACTTAGGGATCGTTCCCAAATTATGTCACGCTGAGGGGTGTCGATAATTTGTGACACTTTGTGACAGGAAATCACAAATTTAAAAATATTTTTTTTTTAAATCTAAAATTATCTAATTTTGAAAAAACTTTATTCAATTAATTTCAAAAACATTAATTTGAGGTCGAAATTGCCTCAAATATTACAAGTACCATGAAACTCAGTTGTGCACACCTTATGCTTGATACTTTAATGAAACAAGGGAGACTACTACTTTTTGTGTATCGGAAATAGAAATCGGCGCCGAAAAATCTGAGTTTTTAATTTTCCGATGTGTGTGTCTATTTATTATTAAATTAGTACTTTCGATATATATTTGAGTTCCGTTTTCGGCCTTATAATTAGGTAGACATCTTGGCCTACATTTTAATCAATTTCTTTTTCATTTACAATCAGTCAGCTTTGAGAAAATCCTTGGTAAATATAAGGCAACTTTCATCATTAAAATTAAGTCGAAGGAAAAAATTTGTTACTACCAAATTTTTTTGCATCTGGGGAATGTATTGATCTACATGTATGCCAATTTTCACAGCGATAAGTGTCTTACGAGAGACTCCATGTTTCTACGCGTTTGCAGCAGGTCATGCAGTTCGCTAAACCTAATTTCGCCATGGGGTGGGCAACGCCCCCTTTTTAATGGCGGAAGTTGCCGATACTTAGGAAATATTAATTTATTACCACTATTTACATCAAAATATTTGATAACTTGTGTTTCAGAATGCATTTTGAAGACATTTAAACTGGAATGTTTTAATTTGAGCTTTAACAACCCGGCAGAATCCATATTATAAATGATCAGAATTTACTGTGTGCAACACGTTGTCATTGGCAACCATTCACGGCCACTTGCATAATGGCTGTATCGTAGTACTACCTCAGAGTTTCATTCATAAGAGTTTGCCGTGTGCAAAAACTACTATACCATTGGTCAGGGAAAGCTTTAATTAATTATTCATGTGTCGAAGTTGAAAGTTTAAACTAAACAGTATTTTAGTGATAAGGCGATGCGTTGCCTTATATAAAGTCTATAGTCATTGCGCATGACGCGATCAGCGGAATGAGGTCACAAGATGTGGAGGTTTCATCCATAGTAAAAAATACCAAACGAACTCACACTTTAAAAATTTGTAGCTCAAAAAGTACTTAAGCTAAAATGTTGATTCTGGTTTCATTTTTTTTATTTGAAATTTGCTCTAACTAACTGTGTTATTAAAAAAATTATTTCAATTTTTAAAAATTTTGTATTCAAGTGCCTACCTTATGCGCAATAAAAAAATTATACAAAAACTGTTGTCACTGTTGTGGCCATTTTACATTCGGCTCAGGGGTGACTCTGTTGTTTTGCTTTACTACATCTTAATCCATTATGGGAAAATTTTAAAGAATAAAATTTAAGTTTAATGATCCAAATTTTATGTATGTTTTGAACTATTTAAATTTAGGTGTGATGTGACACTGGGAGTGGGAGGGGGGGTCTTAAGAATTAGTGATACTTTGTGACGGGGGAGGGGGGTCTGAAAAGGTCTTTTCTTGCGTGATGTAATTTGGGAACGACCCCTTAGCCAGCCTTCACGTATTGATATCTATCCTACAAATCTTGATTTTTAAAATTACTAAAATTATCAATACTAATAAATTAATAAATTATTAATAAAAACCCACCTTGAGCCCAACGAGAGAAAACATCGCCTTTAAGTGAAGTTCCCCATAACAAAGTTGTAACATCTTTTATTAAAGACTTTTCAAGATGCGTACAGAAATGGCTTGCCATAGTTTATAAACTAATCATCTAAAACCCCCTCACTAAACCATAAAATTTAACGATGTAACAAAGACAAAATCAAACCGTGTACTGCCATATTGTTTATTGACAACTATTTTTCTGGTTTTCGAGAAGATGAGAGCCACTTTGGCTGCTATAAAAAATATGCTCAAATTTAAAAGAAAAAAACAACACTTATATGAGGAGAAAGTGTCGTCAACCTTAAATTTTATACCATAAATAAGATTTAATGGGTTAAAATTATTTTAAAAAATATAATAAAAATTATCTACTTAAATTTTCATTCATTGAAATTAAAGTTTGCTAATCACAATATTAACAACGAGCACTAACTAATCAACCGTTCCATTTTAAGTTATGGGCCTTTGTCAGAGTCATCTTAAATTTTCCTAATAATTAGATAAACGAATTACCGGGTATAAAAATTAAGTTTAAGTTTAGTGATACCAAAAAAGTTGTGAGTGGTAACCCCATTTCACATTAAAGTTAAAGCAAATGCTCACAACCCCCGTAATTGTGCTCCCACATAAGACAACGAAATTATTACTATCTTATTTTTTATTATTTAAATTATTAATTTTTTTTTTTGGTGTTGGTGGGGGTTGGGGTTAATATAATAATGAGTATAAAATTCATTTTGTTTAAGCATCATGATGGTCATTGCTCACATAACTTATGGCATAAGTTTTAAAGTCATGCTAACTCACTTATAATATAATGTAGCAGAAAATGAAACGAGTGTACATTTGTAAAAGGAGGAGACTTAATTTTAGTGTTAAAAAACTGTTTATTATTTACACTAATTTAATTATGCACGGACGTCCCTCAGGCCAGGAGGGATGTTCCCGGCGCGCTTCCGCACGGTCTGGGGATTCGGCCCTGGCCCGTTTGGGGGAGTGCTCGGGGGGGGGGGGTATATTATGAGTGCAAACTCGACGACCCACCGACACCATCTCCAAAGTGATGTTAGTGCAAGAGAAGTCAAAAGTTAGCATCTCTTCACGTGTCTTTTTTCTATTAATCCGCTCCCTAGAATGAATAACACCTCATTGTACACAGTGTTCAATTTTTAAAAAAAAACCACACACTCATCGGTGTTCAATAACAACTATACCAACTCTAAGACAGAGAGAGCTTTTGGCAATTATTGTTCACACCGACAATACCTCTATTTTAAGTGCTGAATGGTTAGATAAGGATTATGTTGACTTGTCTGGTGTATCAGTTCCACAAGATGAAAAAGATAAATCAACTACTATAAACTATGCCCATCGGGGGCGTGATTTCAGTTTTTTTTCAGGGAAAGGGAGGGGGTGGGCAAAACCAAAACTTTGTCGGCTTGTTATGTTGTTTATTACTAGAGGCACCACATTACATAGCAATTTAAATAAAACAAGTAAAATCAGGAGGGGGGATGCCCCCCTGCCCTACCCAAAGGATATCCCTTATGCCCATTTGTTACGCTCTACCTTGTATAGTGAGAAATTAATCTCCTATTTGAAGTTTATGGCTCGTTCTAAACAGTGCATAGCAAAGAGCGATACCATATGAGAAATACAATAGCAAAAATACGACACTCAAAACAGTTGCTAATTACAGTTAATAAGACTTATTTAAGTATCAATATAAATACAAAATAAAAGAAATATCATTAACTTAGAGAGTATGATATCTCTTGTACCCGTACACAGTTAATGCAATGTGCCAAAAATAATGTACAATGATGAATACGAATAAACACATAATATGAGTACACACATAATAAAACACCCCTGTCTCGTGAAGTCAAAATATCTCTGTGCGCCAAACACGAATCTCGCTTTTATATAACAAAAAGTAAAACTTGGTCAAATTATCAGGAGTAGCCAATTTTAGGAATAGTACGATATTGATAATCGAACATCCTAAGCCTATAACAAGATTAGCCTTGAATCAACGGATCAGCAAATATATCGAGCGTAGCGATATTTCACAGGTTCCTCCTAATTTTAATCTGTTAAAGGCACCAGTTACTATTCTTTTTTTTTTTTTTTTTTAATTTTTAAAAATTTTGTACACATTTTTTTTCGGGTTTTATTTTTTTTTTTTTTTTTTTTTTTAATTTTTATAATTTTTGTTTTTATTTTTCTTCGTGTTTTTTTGTTTTTGGGGGGGGGGCAGTTGAGAGATCCCTGATAGAAACACTATCTCTGACTGCTGCTCCCTGGGGGTGGGGGCAGCTGAGAGATGCTTGATAGAAACACTATCTCTGACTGCTGCTCCCCTGGGGGGCAGTTGAGAGATGCCTGATAGAAACACTACCTCTGACTGCTGCACCCCTGGGGGGGGGGCAGCTGAGAGATGCCTGATAGAAACACCATCTCAGACTGCTGCACCCCTGGCCATTGCCAAGGTTCAACCAATGCGTATCCGACCATGAACGAGCACCAAGAAGAGAGTTGATTTGGAGGTCAAAGGTTGCCCATCTTGTGGTCAGAATATGTCCATCGAGTCGCGACTCGAGACCATGTTGGCATCGAAAAACTGTAGTGAATGACACCTTCCCGGGCGAAGGTTGGGGGGGGGGGGGGTTCAATTTCCGCTTAAAGTCCAGGCATGCGCGGGGGATAGTTAGGCTGTCAGAGGTGAGTTGTTTAATTGCTTTTAATAGTCCACCCAGGTCAGAATATGTCCATCGAGTCGCGACTCGAGACCATGTTGGCATCGAAAAACTGTAGTGAATGACACCTTCCCGGGCGAAGGTTGGGGGGGGGGGTGTTCAATTTCCGCTTAAAGTCCAGGCATGCGCGGGAGATAGTTAGGCTGTCAGAGGTGAGTTGTTTTATTGCTTTTAATAGTCCACCCGGGCACGTCACGAATGTAAAACCAAAAGTGGCCAGCAAATTAGACAGATGGGTGCGGGATAAATTAGTGGAACAGGTTAACAACTCGGGGCTTCAAATGTATAAACTGCACTGGAGGCCTAGAGAGTTGAATATGACGGGCTGAGTTCAGTCGGGGAAGGAGTGTTAAGTTGAGACCGTCGAGGACGGAGATTCGAGTAGAAGTAAGAGACTTGGACGGTATAGTAAAAGTCAGAGGCGTAGCTAAAGGTTGGGGGGGGGGGAGCAGGAAGGACAGATTCCCTGGGCGTCAAAATGTGCTTTGATATTATTGATGAAAATAATGGGTTTGAGAGTTGAAAAAAGAAATGTGAGGCTCTTGACAATGAATCATGTCCACGGGGGTCACACACTCCTGCTACGCCTCTGATTTACGTATAGACTACCCGCCTCCCTTAATCCCACAATCATTTCACAATTTCTAGCAATAATAATAATCCTGGTTGTGGGTCGCAACAACTTGGACAATTTTATCAAGGGGTAGCGGCCATAAGGCTAAGAACCGCAGCCTTAGGTTGTCTTTAAAATGTTTTTAGTACCTAACTCAAAAATTTTATGATAACTCACTCTGTTACTTTTGATTTTTCATATTCTTTTCTTTTGTTAGACTAAACCCAAGCAGAGCAACGTTATATCCGAAGCTAAGACACTTACAGGGTAATTCAATACATAATAATCATAGGATCGCTGCGACCTAAATACGTAAATGGGATAGGCCTATATGTTCCCCCTAAAGCAGTGGTTCTCGACATTCCTAATGCCGCGACAATTTAATACAGTTCCTCACGTTGTGGTGACCCCCAACCCTACAATTAAAATTGCTTTCGCTGCTACTTCATAAAAATGTGTTTTCCGATGGTCTTAGGCGACCCCTGTCTAAGGCTAAGGGTCCTTCGACCCCGAAATGGGGCCGCTACTCGCGACCCACAGTTTGAGAACCGCTGCCCTAAAGCTTCAATAGAGCATTTTCCCCATGCAATAAACGTCAGATAATAATGGCTATCAGGAGATGTCGCATTCAATTTTTCCAGTTCAAGTACAAAATAAGTTCATATGCATGTGCTGTGACCTGAGTGAAAAAAAAAAAAAAAAAGTGATTTATTTTTAGTTTTTTTCAAAATGAAAGTTTTTATTTAAGTTATACTTTAGAATGACGTGACTTTAAAAAAAGCGGAAAAACCAACAGAGAACAAACAAAACAATTCACATAATTTTCGACATGCTACAAAGGCAAAGCAACGGAATGTTGTAACCGAAGTGTGGTGCTGATTATAGGCTGTGGGTGGAGGGGAGGGGGGGAAGGGGCTCATGTCCATGGCGGTACACGAAACAACAATGGACTCGTCCTGTATTTGTGGGTTATTTGATAGGCCTCTTCTGCGGCGTGTAAACCAAGACTGTAAGAGTCCAGATCGTGGAGTTGGCCTTTTTTTTTATTTTTTTTATTTCCGTTTTCTGCTTGAGTTGAGAAAAAGCTTCATATTGTTTAGGATACCGATTCCTTTAATCAAGAAAATCCCAGTTAGGACTCCGACTGAATAAGATTAAATAACTCCGACGCGCTTTTTCTTCTACAGAGTCACAACACTTAGGATTTTGTATCTGTTTCACAGACAAAAGCCTTCCCTTGCCCTGTGGTCAGAGAGGATGTTACGAGAGAGCTTAGTAACACTTTATTGCCAGTGCTTTGTAATTGACTAGGAAAAAAAAAAGGGGTGGGTGGGGACGGCCAACTGACCAGTACAATGCAAGTAAGAGATCCAAAGAAGCAAGGCGTTGTCATTATTTTCGTGACACCCGTCAGGCGCACAATGGTGATGGAATGTTGGCCGCGGGATTTATTGTTTCTCTTTTCTTGTTTCTGATGTGGACGGCTCCCCGTACGAACAAACACGCCCAAGGGATTAGATTGCCGTTAACCAGTCAGTCGTCATTCCAGTGTAGTTTTAGCTGGTTTGAGGGTGTTCTGAATTTAGGCTCTTTGCAGCTCTTAAGATTTAGGCCTACCTATAATTTTTGCTAATAATTTTATTATTATAGTAATATCAACGGGCGTGAATTTGTCTGAAATGGAAAATTAAAAGAGAGAGAGAGGAGGGGGGGGGGAGAAACACATATAGAAAAGGATACAAAGAGCGAAAGTTATAGCCACAGGGAGAGGGCGAGAATGAGAGAGAGAGGGGGGAGGGAGGGGGGAGAAACACATATAGAAAAGGATACAAAGAGCGAAAGTTATAGTCA